GAGTCAGGTTGTCTAATGAAACAAACATATGCCAGCATGCTCGAGGCACATCCCTGCAAAAATTCGCAATGACTTCCCAGCGGAGGCCCCCCAACTTGTCCCCCGACCACTGAAGAATCAAGTCTCGATCCGGATGCTGATCACCCATGCAAACTGACACGAACCTCTCCCTCCACGTCACCGAGTTCAGCAAATGATCTAGAGCCTGTAACCGAGGTAGAAGAGCAGCCCACTTTGCCCTCATGAGACAAATAATGAGACAACAACTTGCGTGCCCTGGAAATTCACAGGGGTCACTGTCACCAACCCAAATCCAAATACATGCAAGCGTCCCCGGCATCGATCGTAGAACAGCACCCACCAGGTTATCACAAATATGTTTAATTCCTGTGATTTTGATGGAATTTGGGAACATTTTGCTGTCTCTGGTATAGTCATCAGGTCCTTCTTCATCTGTGCCTCTCTCATCGGGAACATTGTCTACTTCTTGCCCGCCAGTTTGTTGTTCGTCGGGGAGCGCAATCACATCGGCCGGCCTTGGCATTTGTAGTGTGCTTGGCCGCAATCAGCCAGTCAAGCATCGAACCCAAAGCCACCAGAACTAGAAGGGTTTTAAGCTGCTTCGGTAAAGGCACTGGCATGCTTCATGATCTGGCAAGGCCATCATTGGCACACGGTCGTCTTCAAGCACGGGGCGTGTGTCAGAAGGGGCCATTAACTCGTCAAAGGTTGTGGCGCTCACTTCACCGCCAAGGTCGCGAGCCATATCACCATTAAGCTGGTTGAAGTCGATGAGAGCTGAGTCTGCGATCTTGCTCTCCGTTCCTCGGCCAGTCGCTCGGCAAAAATTACCCGCATCAGGCGATAGGCTATGGGTGGTTGACAGCAACCAAAAAACACTAGACCACGCAGGCTGTTTTTTGCCGGGCCACAAAACGGTCTTTTGACACGATAAGCAAACCTGCGCGCGTGCTTGGCGCATGATGTAAGCACACCCGCTCACGCACTACGTCGCACGCCTGCAAGCACGCTTGGCACACGATAAGTGCACCCGCTCACGGACTACCTTGCACGCCTTTGCACGCACCTAGCCTGGCACATGATTTGTACACCCTCTCATGCACCCTTGCACGCCTGCGCACATGCCTGGCTCATGATAAGCACACCCGCTCACGCGCTACGTCGCACACCTGCGCACACACCTGGCGCATGACAAGCACACCCACCCATGCGCCAGCCAGCCACGTCGCACGCCTGGGAAGAACACGCGCTCACGCACTTCGTCGCACTTCGTGCCTGGCACATGACGCCTACGCGCATGCCTGGCACATGTTTCGCTTTCCAAATCCATCGGTCTTACGCTGACTCGCTTGGGACGATGCTGAATTGCTCCACCTTCGGGAGGGGGGGGTGTGACTACCTATTTCACCCCAAAATGCTGGCAGGCGCTTGACCTGCAAAAACCGGATCCCTTTCTTGCCTTTGAAATGTCGTGGAAACGCCGCTGCGGCCCCAGCAAAAATCACAGGTGCAACGTCAATCGTGGGCCGGCAAAAAAATCTGGCGGGTAGAGTGGGACGAGGACCTGGGATTGCTGGGTTCCCCCCCCAATTGGTCAAGTCAAGTATCCTTGGTCGCTCACATTGCAAATGACCTGTTCGCAGTATTTGGCCAGGCATTCGTGGCGGTCCCCATGGCACACTTCGAGAGCCAGCACGAACGCAAGAGCGTCCAACTTCTGGCTAAAACCCGTGAAGCCTGAGGGAAGCAAACAGCACTACGTTCGAGACATAAACTAGACCCATCAGTGACTCAACAGGGCATCAATGAATGTCTTTGCTGACAAACACATGTGTCAGGCAGGCACGAACCCCCGCCTTTACCCATACTGGCAATTGGAAGAACCCGAGAAGTTGTCCCCAGCTCTGGCACTGCGGTTGGCGCAACAGCCTCCTTGACCAACTATGCAAAAAGATACATGTTTGCTGAAACATGATGGAAATCCAAAACAACTAGAAGGCAAGGACTCCTCATCTGAGTCAGCAGTGTCTTGAGCAGCAGCAGCAAGGGTTGCCTTGAAGTACGCCAAAGCAGCATCACACCTGAGACTGCAGCTGCACGGCTCCCAAATCCCGAAACCAAATCCCTACTCCGAGCCTCGAATCCCGAGCTGGGCCCCAAGACGCATTCTGATGGGTTTTTGCAAATTGACGCAAGTCTGACTTGCCAAAAAAAAAGCACCTTGTTGCCCACTCCTCGCAAATGAAGAGCTCCTTGTTCTGCTTCGTAGCGTCATAGCCTCGGCTGGGCATTCCCCAGGGACTAGAAACTGATTTATTTGTTAATGAAGCAACTTCCCGCTAGCTGACTGACTCGCTGAGAGGCTAAGGCAAATCCATTGGCTGGCAAAACCATCTTGTTGCCACTCAATACGCCTTGACAACATGAGCAGCACGTCAAGCTTGTACCTCGCCCTGCTCAGTGTTGAAGCAGACGGCCCGATCTGGTCTTCGGCGGCAGCAGTTGCCCCTGCCACTTGCAGAGCGACGTCGCGGCCACCCTGACAGCAGTTTGCCGTATGCGGGGCCGACCAAACAAAAGTGTTTCGATCTCAACCCCGGTCTGCCTTGCCAAGCAAAGCCCTTTCCCCCAGCGCCAGCTGAATCGATGTGGCAATGACCGCAGCAAAGTGGCCGGCGTTTCTCAAATGGATATTCCTGAGCAGGCAAACTGACGTGCCTTGCCCCTGGCTCAAAAAAGGCTCACATTGCACCACCACCATGCCATGCCACACTTTACGATACCCTTCGCCACTTGTTACAAAAGCTCATGCTCCAGATCTAACCCCGCAAATGCCAATGCCAACAAGACACAATGTCATGAAGTGATACAACTGCGTGATGGAGAAAGCTGGTCGCCCCTTCCCGCGGACTTGCGGCCGCAGACGGTGTGTGTCCGTGGCAATGTGGAGATCAGGCTTCTGCGCCTAGCAAAACTGAAAAAAAAAGTATGAGCCACCCCCAAAACTGAAACTCAACTACCCAGCCGGCGGCCGGGCAGCCGTTAAAGGGCCAGTAAATTTGCCTCGACCCAGCCCAGCCTGTGAAAGGTCGCGCACAAGCATGACGGCATCCCGAAAAGCAGCCACCTGCGCGGCGTGCGGCTTGCGGCAAAAGCGCCCCTCTTGCTGAGTGGCTGACTGGTTAATTGGTTGACAGGCCCCGAGGTTCCTGCCTCCTCTGCATGACCGTGCGCTAAAACGGGCGGCGCTGCAGTCAAGAGCAGCTCGTGTGCTCGGAGCGCCCGCCCCCGCAAGGATTGCCATGGCTCATCACCCAGCGCTGCCATCGGGCAACTTAATGTTGGCGTTGCGAAGTATGTTGGTGGGATGTTGCGTGGCCGTGCTTTCTTCCCGTTTCACGATAAGGGCAACTTGTCTCTGCCTTCATGTTCCATCCTCCATCCAACACTGCCAGCTTGAGTGATCCACGCAGATCGGCAAGTTCAAAACTTGAGTCCAAGCAAGTTGTAAGTACGTTGCTGCTGCGGCTGCCCTTTGCAACCTGAAAGGCCTGGACACTTCAACAAGCGTCAACGGTGGCAGGCGTCCGGACTCTCTATGACACTCCACCAGGTTGGGCCAATGGCCAAAGCTCTTCCAGTAAAATAACAAAGACAAGCCTAAGTACAAAGTCTGCTTGAGGGCCCCACCCAAGAAAGAGGATGGACACATGGTAGCCAAACGGAAATTGAAATAAGACCGTCTGAGCCGGTGGGTGGGCAATAAAAATGGGGGGGGGCTATGGCATATTAAACTCTTAAGGCCTTAGGGGCATCCTTGGCTTATCCCAAACTCCAAGCACCGCTCCGCCCCAAAATTGATGCCTTTGGCGCTGTAGACCCCCCAAACAAGGCGCCACCTTTTGGAATTGGCAGGCTAGTTTAGACGAAAGGACGCACCGAGGACAGGGTTGGTTAAACTAGGTAAGCGCCCAGCCACAACTGCGCCTGCCATTCAATCTGCGCCTGACTACGGAAGTTCTTGTTCAACTTCCTTTGATAAGCACATCTTTCCTTACTTTGGTAAGCGCATGTTTCCTTACATTGGTGGCCCGCCATGTTTTGACCAACGCGATGCGGTAAACCTCCCGGGGGCAAGTTTGGCCGAAAAAGCGCCCCCCACGTCCAAACAGACAACAACCGGTTCCAGCAAGGCTCTGAGAAGCTTACATGTGAGGCCGCCTGGTGGTGGTTTCAGCACATATTGGCATGGTACAATTCGCCAGTGTTCGCGCGCACTCTGTGACACACCCCCACCACGCGCACACAGCAGCCAACCCTAGTGTTTCAAGACACAGACAAGCATGTCCCCCCCACTTGAAAAATAAAACTCTTTTGTAAATATTCTACCCCAAACTTATGAAATTTAGCAAGTTGAGTCGAACACATCCAGAGCTCATGGACTGTGAGGTGGGTGTGAGCATCTTTAGTTAAACAGTTCTTGGACTTGCAAAGCCAAGCATTTGCCATTGGCTATTGACAGCTTAGGCACAATTCCCATGGACTGCCCGAAAGCGAACATGCGAAAGAAACGGTACACCGGATCTCGGCTCAATGGGTTTTTCGGTGCCTTCAAGCCTTTGAATTCCTTTGGATCCACTAAAACTCGTTGGACCCCCCCCCAGACCTCCAGGAGCAAATCCAGATCCTTTTTTTTTGGAGGGTAAACTCCGCTTTGCACTCACTTTCCTGCACCAAAGAGCGGAGTGCCCAATTTGTTGACCCCAAGAATCCCGGGACCTCCACTTTTCTTTGCTGGCTCCCATCCATCCGGTTCCTTAGCTTTGTAGCCTTTTAGTGTTGAGTTTAACCCACTAAAAGTTAGTCACTTTGAGCGGGGGATCACAAACAAAAAGGAAACGGGCAGCCCAGTTTTGACGCCTTCGCCTTTGGACGGGGCGCCGTTTCGCTGTTTCGCCGCCATTCACCCGAGACCCGAGGTGCCGGGGCCGCTGCTGGCGCGGCTGCTGGCGGAGGAGCTGCCTCGGTGCCTCGCGGAGGTGCAGCCCCGGGGCCTGGCGGCGCTGGCGCATGGCCTCTCGCAGCTGCCGCCGCCGCACCAGGCCAAAGATGGCGGGAAGGGTCATAGCCTGCGGTGGATGGACGAAATCCTCTTAGGCACCACCACCCAAGAAGCCCTGGAAATGTTGTCTGATTCCCTGCAAATACCAACACTCATGGTTTCTTAGCTGGTGCAGGATTTCCGTCCATCAACAGTATGCCGAGCTATTTTGGGGCGGATGAACACCCATGTTCCCCCTAATTTTGATGTTCACCAGTGGTACAGGGTTTTGACCAGCCAGATGACGGGAAGGTCGACGTCGAACAAGCGCCGGCCGTCACTTCCCGAGTCTCATGGATTTTCGACTTGTTTTCCATTCACGGACTTTGGACATTTTTTGGGTTTGGACCAGGTTGGGAGGGGAAAAGGAAGGTTTGTCAGAGTTTCCGAGCCATATGTTTTGAAGGAAACTCCCAAGATGGTGGTTGTGTTGGTGAGTAAATTGATCAACTTTTGTGCGGGGACATCCAGAGACCACTGTTCAGCCGTCCAAAGTCCTCACTTCTTGAGTTCATGGACTTGGGCGCACTCAAACTTTTTTGAAGGCAGCATCTGAATCTCAGTTGCGAATCGACCGGAGCTACGACCTTTTGGTGTTTCCATGTTGGCAACCATTTTTAGTCACCACCAAAGGTGATCACCTTTTATGTTGAGGTCATTTCAGCAAGTGAGGCATAGGGCTGTGTTTCTTAGGTCCGACAAATTGCGGTTGTGGGCGAATATCAGCGAATGTTCCCCCAGGGATGGAGCTTGTTGTGGTTGAAAACACACGGGTGGCATCAACTAGACCCCCTCCCCCCTCCACAAAAATATGGTTTTCCAGGTTTTCCCCTTTCGGTTTTTCTTTCCAAGCCGAAAAGCAGAGTGCGAAAGACAGACCCAGCGTAGGCAACCGACACTCTGCCTCCAAGCCTCTCAGGCGGATGCCCGCTGGGCTCTGGAGGCGGGGCTGGCCGGGCTGGCTGGGGGAAAAAATAATAATCTGAGCTCACGGTGTGAAGCGGAGGGCGGAGAGCTCAAATGGTTGGTTTCTCAAAACTTGGTGGCTCCCAGCCAGCCGGTTCCTTGTGTCTTTGGTTTTAATGTAACCCATTAGAAATGTGAAGTTCAACTTTTAGCAGATCTGAGGACAGCCCAGAAAATCGAGGTCCCCCAACGCGGTTGGTTTCTTTTTTGCTTCCCTCTGAAGAGCAACCAAAAGTTTAAAAGTAGGGGTCCACAATTTCGAGAGATACGCAAAGAAGCCCAAAACTCCTTGGCACCCTTCGGAACTCTCGACAGGTGCTGCAAACCCTGGGGCCTTGAAGGCAGAGAGCTGTACCAGGCGTTTGTGGCGAGTGCCTTTCTGGGAGACTCAGGTCCCGTTTCAATCCCAGGGCGTCCGACGCCACGAACGCAAAGAACCCACACCTTGGAGAGCCAGGTGAGGTCCCTGTCGGTGCACCTGGGTCTTGGCCAATCCTTGAACTTTGCCATTTTGGGCGAAAATCGACCGGACATCTACGGCCTTTTGGGAACACCCATGTTGGCAACCAGTTTTAGTCACCGCCAAAGGTGCTCACCGTTTATTTCTGGCTCATTTCAGCAAGTGAGGCATTGCTCTTGGGCCCCACAAAATGGTGGTTGTCCTTTTCGTGTCCCTTTGAAACCACCCACAAACCGGGGCACCCTGAAAGAAAAAGAGGCACGCATGCTCCATCCCCACCTTCTTTTTCCGGTTGCCAAAAGAAGGCACCCTACTGTGGATGGACGAAATCCTGCACCACCCAAGAAACCCCGGAATGATGATTCGATTCCCCTGCAAATACCCATGAACAATGGTTTCCCATGGTTTCCAAGCGGTGCGAAATGGATTTTGTCCATCCACCCGATGTTTTTGAAAGCAACCGAAGGAAGGCGAGACGATGTCTTTCAGGCCTTGGCGCCGCGCCTGGCGAGCTGCCGCGATTTGCGCCCTGCGGAGCTGGCGCTGGCGCTGGACGCTCTGTCCCGGGTGCCCGAGCTCGGCGCCGAAAGCGGCGCCATGCGAAAGCTGGAGGCCGGTTGTGGGCGGGGGGGGGGGGGTTGGGGATGGAGGGATGGGGGATGGGGGGATGGGGGCATGGGGGGATGGGGGGGGAGAAGGGGGGCGGCTCAGGTTTGAGATTTGTGCATTTTCAGGATTCGTGGGTCTTTAGCGTTGTCGGGGGGACTTTATTGCCTGAGAATCCAGAAGAGAGAGAGACGCATCTCCCCTTTTTCCCCGCTTTTCCCATGGCCACTGAGGGTTGGGCGGGGGCGGATGGTGGACGCTTGGGGTATTGGGCTTATTTAAGGGTCTTGGGCTTTAACGATATCGGGTCTGTGCGTGTGTGTGTTAATATTGCCTCCGGGCGTTGAAGCTAAGCAGGTTATTACCCTGAGGGGCTGACCCCAGTAACCCCAGATTTAAGGTATCTACACTTTTAAGTTAGTTGAACATCGACGGTACGGTGGCCCCCCTTTGGATGGTAAAACAAACCAAAAGGAAAGAGGCCATGGTAGGGTCTATTGAGTCTCGCCCATTTACCAAGAGTCACTTCAAGCAATACACGCAAAGAATGCAGATAATATTAATGCCCACAAGGTCAAACCGGTTGAGTCAAACCGATTAAGGGATTCTCAGGCGAAGGTGGTCGGGAGAGGGTGGTTGTAGGTGGCCTCGCGGGATTGAGTTCCGGAAGTTAGATCTCAAGCTTGAATTGGGCTGGAATGGATATCAAATGTCTTTTGTGTGCGGAAGCTGAACGCGGTACCAACTAAGGGTTTGTGAATCCAATGTTAGCATAGCATTTGACGGAATATTGGTAAACGATCGTGCTGGGTGCCGTGTTTTGACAAGACGTTACATGTTGACCCTAGGCTGGACATGATGGGCATCACTTCCTCAATGAAAAAGACCACCATATGTTTTGCAGGTCCTGTAAGGCGCCAACACATATTTTTGCGGGTGATTGAGGTGTTTTCTGTCGAGGTGATGGGTTGATGTTGTCCCTTCCTGTTGGCAGTTGTTTGGTGGGCTTGATCAAGCCCGCAAAAGGAAGCGGATTGAATGTTGTTTTGGGCTCACTTGGCCGTGGCTTTTGGAAGGCGCTTGGTGGATGGTACACCAGGCTCAATGTCCTGCTGTGAGGTTCGGCTTGCGATAGGTGGATTCAATAATTTTCATATCTAAGCACAAGACGAGGCATGAAACCGGAAAGGAAAAAAAAGAAGCTTCCTGCCAACATGGTACCTGACCGCCTCAGATGTCATGGGCGACTTTATGACAGCTGGCTCATTTGGAGGTGAAACGAGCGGGCGGCCATGATGTGGCGCCCATTTTTACTTGGGGATCCAATCCCGAGGGAAAGCCTAGAACCCTAGAAAGAAATACACACATACAAGTGATTGAACTCCTATTGGTTTTCCAAAAGGTAGCTAAAATGTATCGACTGTTAGCTTTCAGTATTAGGGTTGCTTACTGAGGGAGGGTTGCGTTTCAGGTCCTGCCAAAAGCGGTTCAGGTCATTTGAATATACACAGGTCGCAGAGTCGCAGGCAGCTCCTTTTGGCTCTTTTTTTTCAGGAGTCGCTGTGCGGGGCGCTGGAGGCCCTGAAACCCCTGGAGCTGGTCATGGCCCTTTGCGCCCTCGCGCGGGCGCAGTCGACGCCGCATCCGCCGCTGGCGGAGGCACTGCCCGGAGCGGTGCAGCGGACGCTCGGAGCGAAAACGCCGAGGGACCGAGAGACATTTGGGTGCGCCGATTTTTTTGTGGAGGGTACCCCTTGTTTGATGCTTTTGCTTTTTCATTCCAAAAGGAAGCCAACCATCGTTTTGGGTGTTCTGAACACACATGTCTTTGTCCCTGGATTTTGAACCAACCCAAACATCCCGACTGGGAGTGTGTGTGTGTGTCCTTGTCCCTGCATTTTGAACCGACCCAAACATCCCGACTGGGAGTGTGTGTGTGTGTGTGTGTCTTTTGATCTTTGGGACGGTGCCCTTTTGGTGGCAAAATGGTATGTTTAAACCCACCAGGAAGATATGCCTTTGTCTTTTTTCGGAGGGTGCTATGGTTTTAAATCAAGGGAAACCAAACAGAGCAACCACCAATTTGGGAGTGCCCCCCCAAAAAAACAACACTCATATCTTGGTGGCTCCCAGCCATCCCCTTAGCTTTTTAGATCCTTTGAGTGTTTAGTGGTAGTTTCCGAATTGAACCCACTAAAAGTCTGTCACTTTTAGCGGGGGCTTTGAGGGCAGCCCAGTAGCCAGCCAACTCGCTGAGGAGCTTCCAGTGCCTGCCCCAAGCGGAGCTTTGCATCGTGGTTCACTCCATGGCGAAGTTGGATCTGCAGATGGACCTGTTGCGCCTCGGCTTCGGCAAGAAGCGCTCAGAGAGAGAGAATCGCCGAATCTAAGTCTAGGTTTCCCAGTAATGCCCTTCTCTCCCCTTTTTTGGTTGGGAGGGTTCCCCTACTAAAATAGACCACAGAACAAAAGAAAAGAAGAAAAAAAAAAACAAGGTACCCTTGTTCTAAGCTCTCTACTGGAGGACCCAGAAATGGTTTCAGTGATTCCAGTGCCTGGTTTTGTTGTAGGGACCCCTTTGATTTGAGGTGCCATGTGAGTGGGAGTGAGGATAATTAGATTGATGTTCCCAAGTCACGAAAGAACAGGGAACTTTGGAAGTGAGACACCAATTTGACCTTTGAGGTGCGGAAGAGATTCGAATCCTTTCCCTACCGCCACTGGATCGCAGGCAAACCCGCTATAGTAGGTATAATCCTTTGCCATTTCCTCTTGGGTTTTTAAGGGTGGCGAGTCGACGAGCCCTTTTACAGGTGCCATGTTCGTGGAAAGGAGGATTGAAGGTAGTTGTAAATAGAAAAGTTCAGAGATGGAAGTGAACTATGGCCCTTTATCAAGGACCGAATTTCTACTTTGACAGAGTCGTTGCAGCAAGACCGAGGCCCAATGAAGGAAGCAAGACACAACGTTTGCCTCCTCCCCTGCGATGTCCAGGAAGAAGCGACTTTGAAGCGGGCTTTGCGAAGAATTCTGCATTCCAAAGAAACTAGCTGTGGGTCAGAAGATTGAGCCCACACTGATACTGGGAAATGCAAACAAGGAGTTAAACCTGCAGTACCGTGGTGGTTTATATTTTTGCCCCATACCCAAAGTCCTCTGAAAATTGGAGTGAGTTTGCCAACCGAAAGCTTGGAGTTGGTTTGATAGACAGGGAATGAGAATTGGAATGACCCCGAGAAAAACCATCCCCGATTGGTTTCCTTTGAGACAATCCCCTTACCAACACCCGGACTGGGGTCATTCCCCACCTATCATACCTATCGCATCGGAAGCGCGGCGAGGGACCCAACATTCTAGGGGTTGGCTCCCCATTCTTTTCAACCATCGTTCTTTTCGAAAACCAGCCAATCGTTTTCGCCGAGTTTCTGGAGGATTTCTAGAAAGATCCGGATCGCTGGAAAGAATGGAGAAGGAAGCTACCCCTAGAGTCTTACAATCTTACAATAGATTTGCACAGTGGTTGGCCATTTTGCGCCCCTGGCCCCTAGAAGCTACCTGTAGGGAGGTGCCCCTAGACAAATGTCCGGGGCGTTGTAGCTGTGCCCAACCCGTTGGAGGCCGGCCATGCTGGCCCACTTCTCGCGCCAAAGTTCCGCCGGCGAGCGCCTCGCTGGGAACGAGGAAATGGCGTTCGGGGCCAGAGGCCCCCCTTTCTCTTGACTGCTGGGTTGGATCTTTAGACTGTAACTTTTTTGGTTGAAATCAAGTTGGGTTTTCCGCTAAACCCCAAGGAAAGTTAAACTTTTTGCTGGGGGGTCAACAGCAACCAAGCTTTTGGTGGCTTGAAATCAAAGCAAGACTGGGATTTGGAGATGTCAACTTTCTGAACCTGCCGTAGTTGTTTGCAGATGTCGATTTTGCTGAACCATGGACCTTGACATGTTGTCAGTGGAAATGGGGTTTACGGTTTAGGTCTATAGCTGGAAGAAAGACTTTCGGGTCACTTTGTGTGAGAGTTGCGCACCACTTCGCATCTTTGGGCAGCCAGCGTTTATTGATAGTTTACAGCAAAATCATCAGACACCAGGGTTTCTGAACTGGTGCGAAATGGATTTCGCAAGCATCCACAGATCCACAATAGAAATTCCTTTTGCAGTGACAAAGTAGTCGTCAAGACGTGAACCTCCCACTTGGTATCACAGAAACGGTCAGCTGTTCCACAACCTTTTGCGCAGGGCTGGTTTGTGTTTGGCCCATGGATGCTGGAGTTTGTGCAACATCCGTTGACTCGTCTTGAAGTACTTGAGCCAAGGGAATGTGTGCGCCAACATTTTGCATGTACCATGCGTCTGCTTCTCAGGGATTAAGTCTGCCTTGGGTTCCATCGTTTAAGTCCCAGTTCAGTTGCACCGAAGGCAGAAAAAGCCGAGAATTCTGCCAAACCCGGGGGTGCAGTTTTTGGCATTTCCCAGGAGCACAGCTGTTTGAGAGTCGGTGAACTGGGGTCGCCTGGCCCTTTTTTCCAGAATCCCCCCGCAACACATCCCATCCCCGACCTGAAACCTGGGTGTCTTGTCTGGAGGCTGCCATTTGTTTCGTGCCATAGGGCAACCAACCGTTGAACACCGCCATTTTGGGGGGACCTCATTCACGGGACCCCCAAAAAAAGAACACACACACACACACACACACCACAGCTTTTTTTTGGCTCATGTCACGGCACCCCCCCAAAAAATGCCACCACTTTTAAAAAAAGAAACAACATATATTATTATTATTATTATTATTATTATTATTATTATTATTATTATTATTATTATTATTATTATTATTATTATTATTATTATTATTATTATTATTCTGATTATTATTATTCTTATTATTCTTATTATTCTTATTCTTATTATTATTATTATTATTATTATTATTATTATTCTTATTCTTATTATTATTATTCTTATTATTCTTATTATTCTTATTCTTATTGTTATTATTATTATTATTGTTATTATTATTATTATTATTATTATTATTATTATTATTATTATTATTATTATTATTATATATATATATATATATCATGGGACCTCTCAGAAGACGAGCCACCGAGCCACTTCTCAGGGTCTCCTTGGACCACTGGGCGCTGCTGTTGCACGGCCTCGCCAAGTGCCGGCTTCGCTCCACGCAGCTCTGGGCCCAGCTGCCCTCCACGCGGTTTCCGGCGCCGCCGGTGCCGCTGAGGCCCGGGGCCCGGGGGCCCCGTTTCGGTAACGGGGGGCAGGCCGAGGGAGGATACCCCGTTGCCTTTCAGCGGTTGCGTCAGGAAAGGAATAGGTAAGGGTCTTTTCCGAATTGTAAAAAGTGCGGCGTCAACCTTGGCATGGTTGTTGTTGGGAAGCATCTTGCATGTTTTCTTGTTGCAGTTTAGTGGGGGAACCCCACTTAACTGCTAAGAATTGAAGTTTTGCTCCCCCTCCAACGTCAACCAAGGTTTAAGGGTAGTGCTTCAAATTAGCTTACAAGGTACAAGAGTGAGCTTCCAGAATTATTGGTGGGCGGGTCTGTGCACATGGAACATCTTGGCAGCCCAGCATTCTGCTGACTCTTGTTTTTCCTTGCAAAGATGGCCGAGATCAACCCCGATGTGTTGATTGGGATGCAAAACATCGTACTTTCACTCTCACACCAGGGTTTCTGGCGGTGGAGGTATCTGACAAGATCCTGGATCTGGGCATTTCTGGGCATAGTATGTTTTTGTATCGTAGCCCTGGCTTTGCGTGTTTGTTGATCATTGCCATGTAGCCAAGTATCCACAAACTGGGGGTTCCCTGTTTAAAGCCCTTTTGCGACCTTTTCACGGCAGCAAGGGCAGTGGGTTGGACATGGACATGTCGGATACATTTTTCCTGAACAACCCTGAAAATGATGACAGCCATTTGGCCGCGGGCAGTTTTGGCTGAGGCGAGCAGGTTCAGTGTATTTCAGGTCTAGGGAGTTATTATTGGTTGATTTGAAATACGTTTTTTGGTTGACCTGAAATACACTGAACTTTTGGATAAATTTCAGGTATCATTGGTTGACCCAAGAATATGTTTTTTGGTTTTGTTTTCTCCCCGGTTCTGTACACCTTTTGTGGACTGCACAACCTAAGAAATCCAGGTTTCAGATATGATTTCCCGAAGTCAATACCGAATAAACCTTATGGATTGACTTCGTGGTGACCTCAAACGCATCCTTTTTGGTTGGTTTAAGAAATAGAGGGCGATTCCTGGCTTAGGATGGGGTTTATTCCATTTCCCAGGGCAAACCCATCTATTTTTCCAAAAGGCCACCTATGTTCAAAACCTGCACGTGCTTTGGGCTCGTCTTTCAGCTGCTGCAGCCGCTTCCGGCCGAGAAAACTCCAGGACCGCCGTGCGGCTGAGCCTCGCTGCGGCCAAGTCGGACGTGAAGCTGCCGGAGCTGCGGAGGCTCATGGAGGCGTATGCCAACCAGCCAGCCAGCCAGCCAGCCAGTGACTAGATGCTGACTTCCATCAAGGGGTCCCTGTATTTCCCATGTTGGTAGTTTTTAAACATCACCTTTTGGCCCTTTGAAGGTGAGTTTCCCTTGGCAGGGGTGATATTTTGAGGGGAAATATAGGGAGCCCTGTCCACTTGGTTAAGAATATGTTTTCCTTTGTTGGCTTGAAAGGGAACCTATCACTGCTGGACATATTTTTCCCAGGGGATGAAAAAGCAAATGGAGGCGTATTAACTGTGCTTAAAGTTGTGTTTAGTACCAAAAACAACATGCATGGCCATGGTTGATGCAAAGACATCTAGCTGCTTACGAGCTGTGCTTCAAGCTTGTTCCCAAACAACATGTATGGCCATGGATGAAAGACAATGCTCCAAATGGTTCGTTTCACAGGTTGATTTTGTGACGCGGCAGTGGGCTTTGACTTTTGCCCTGTCCTCAGTTTGGATGTGCTACTTGTTCTCGCTTCCTGAGTTTAGACTTTCTACTTTTTAAAGAAGACCATTTTGACAGTAAACCACACATTTACTCTTTGTTTGGCCAATCTGCTCCATCGGAAGTGAGCGTTCCATCTTTTTCCTTGGTTTGGTTTCCCCAGTCACGCACCACAGATGGTCCCATGGCCCCCCAAGAGTTCGGGGGAGCAGATTTTCATGGCGAGAGCTTCGACCCCATTGGGCCGGAGATCTTTGCAAAAGCCTGGGCCTATGGCGAAGCAACGGCTGACTCGACGGTGTTTGGTTGGCACAAGGGGCGGTTTCGCTGGGTTTCGCTGGGTTTCGCTGGGTTTCGCTGGTCACTTTCCCGCCCTTTCACCACCACTTTTAGCCCACCACCTTAAGAACCAATCGGGGGCATTGGCATGTTTTCGTTTAACAACCTCAGTCGACCCCTGCCCCCGCAGAAAGAACCCCTCTGCAGGTCAGTGGTCCTTACTTGTCCTGGTTTGGGTCGTTAAAACATCAATTGCTGGGTGGGTTGAAAGGGCAGGCTCCTTTGTTTTTTTCTTTGGGTAGCCTTTGATTTGCATGTCGGTCTATTGGGAAACCAAAAGGCAAGCCACCAATGTTGCCTCCTCGGACCCCCAATAATTTGTTTTCTCCTTTTGGTTTTTCTTGACGACCCCAAGAAGGGTACCCTCAAAAAACCCACACCTGCATCACGTCCCCATTCACCGACTGCCCCAGGCGAGCCACGTGCTCAAAACACGGGTAGATGAACCTTAGTAAGGGACAATCCCAATCATAAATAGTTGCGGCCGCCGACTCTGAATTCTTTACGGTGGTTCTGGGCTTGGACCATTTTGATTTCGATGGTTTTGATTACGACCAACTAGGACCCATCATTGCTCCGATTCGTTTCCCTCGGAGCCTCAAGAAAGCCACCCACAGCGAGGTGGCGGCAGAGCAGCCAGAGGATTTGGAGGACGAGGCGCTGGCGGCCTTGGTCTACACCCTGGCGCACCCTTTCTACGCCGACCGTCGCCGGGCAAGGGCAAGCGGGCGGACGCATGCGAACGGATCGCGGCGTGTCTCTGTGTGTCTGTGTCTGTGTCTGTGTCTGTGTCTGTGTGTCTGTGTCTCTGTGTCTCTGTGTCTCTCTGTGTGTCTCTGTGTCTCTGTGTCTCTGTGTCTCTGTGTCTCTGTGTCTCTGTGTCTCTCTCTGTGTCTCTCTCTGTGTCTCTCTCTGTGTCTCTCTCTGTCTCTGTGTGTCTCTCTGTGTCTCTCTGTGCCTCTCTGTGTCTCTCTGTGTCTCTCTGTGTGTCTCTGTGTGTCTCTGTGTCTCTGTGTCTCTGTGTCTCTCTCTGTGTCTCTGTGTCTCTCTCTGTGTCTCTCTCTGTGTCTCTCTCTGTGTCTCTCTCTGTCTCTGTGTGTCTCTGTGTCTCTCTCTGTGTCTCTCTCTGTGTCTCTGTGTCTCTGTGTCTCTGTGTCTCTGTGTCTCTGTGTCTCTCTCTGTGTCTCTGTGTCTCTCTCTGTGTCTCTCTCTGTGTCTCTCTCTGTGTCTCTCTCTGTGTCTCTCTCTGTGTCTCTCTCTGTGTCTCTCTCTGTGTCTCTCTCTGTGTCTCTCTCTGTGTCTCTGTGTGTCTCTGTGTGTCTCTCTGTGTCTCTCTCTGTGTCTCTCTCTGTGTCTCTCTCTGTGTCTCTCTCTGTGTCTCTCTGTGTCTCTCTGTGCCTCTCTGTGTCTCTCTGTGTGTCTCTGTGTGTCTCTGTGTCTCTGTGTCTCTCTGTGTCTCTCTGTGCCTCTCTGTGTCTCTCTGTGTGTCTCTGTGTGTCTCTGTGTCTCTGTGTCTCTGTGTCTCTGTGTCTCTGTGTCTCTGTGTCTCTGTGTCTCTGTGTCTGTGTGTCTGTGTGGCTGTGTCTGTGTGTGTGTCTGTGTCTGTGTCTGTGTCTGTGTCTGTGTCTGTGTCTGTGTGTCTGTGTCTCTGTGTCTCTCTGTGTCTCTCTGTGTCTCTCTGTGTCTCTCTGTGTGTCTCTGTGTCTCTGTGTCTCTGTGTCTCTGTGTCTCTGTGTCTCTGAGTCTCTGTGTCTCTCTCTGTGTCTCTGTGTCTCTGTGTCTCTCTCTGTGTCTCTCTCTGTGTCTCTCTCAGTGTCTCTCTCTGTGTCTCTCTCTGTGTCTCTGTGTGTCTCTGTGTGTCTCTGTGTCTCTCTCTGTGTCTCTCTCTGTGTCTCTCTCTGTGTCTCTCTCTGTGTCTCTGTGTGTCCCTGTGTGTCTCTCTGTGTCTCTGTGTGTCTCTCTGTGTCTTTCTGTGTCTCTCTGTGTCTCTCTGTGTCTCTCTGTGTCTCTCTGTGTCTCTCTGTGCCTCTCTGTGTCTCTCTGTGTCTCTCTGTGTGTCTCTGTGTGTCTCTGTGTGTCTCTGTGTCTCTGTGTCTCTGTGTCTCTGTGTCTCTGTGTCTCTGTGTCTGTGTGGCTGTGTGGCTGTGTCTGTGTGTGTGTGTGTCTGTGTCTGTGTCTGTGTCTGTGTCTGTGTCTGTGTCTGTGTCTGTGTCTGTGTCTGTGTGTGTGTGTGTCTGTGTCTGTGTGTCTGTGTCTGTGTCTGTGTCTGTGTCTGTGTCTGTGTGTGTGTGTGTGTGTGCGTGTTCACCCCTTTTTGGCCCATTTCAGGTGAGCTTCCCTTGCTAGAAGTGCTTGAAGCGCTTTAAGATTATATATGAATATACTTTGTCAAACGTTTTCGGAAGGGAAGCTGGACAGGATATCCCAGTCAGTACCTTTGGCGAGTTTGATTTGTTAGCTCCATCGCCCCAGCACTAGTTTGGTGGCTTGCAGGTGGAGAATATGATGCAACACGCTAAACCCGCTTGAAGGTGAATCAGGCCACCAGGCCGTGGGGAGGGTCCAAGTCAAGTCTCAAAATCAGAACCTCCAAAACGGGTTGAAGCGTTGTCCTTCAGTTCGTCCTTCAAAACCACCCCCCCCCCCCAAAAAAAAAAAATCAGGACGGCCAACAAGCACGCCCGGTTTTCGTGACGGTAGGGAATACAGTTTGCTTCAGACGCCCCAAGCCTCACAAGACCCCTGTTGCGGGGGGAGCTTGCAGGTTTCCAAGCTGCCAGAAAGGAAGGGGATCCCTCAGTTTTCCGTTTCCGCAAGGCGTACCACTGCCAAGGGGCAGTTGTTACCCCTTCTCAGAAGGAGGGGGGAAGTAATTGATGGCATGGCAGGGTTGTTGAAACAATTGCGTATCCCCACATTGTTCCAGTTAAGGCCTCGCAGGAGAAGCTAGGAAACCCATGGGAAGCCAGTAGAGAGCTTGCCACTTCCCAAGGTATGAACTTCAGGGCTGGGTTGGGACTTGTTGCCCCCTTCTTGGAAACTCCCGAGCTGCAACTTTGGGTGACTTACTGTTCATCTTCCTTTTTGGCTGCGTCACCACTGAATATGGAACCAACCAACCAACCAACCAACCAACCAACCAACCAACCAACCAACCAACCAACCAACCAACCAACCAACCAACCAAAGCACGCTCCAATTGGGGCCATTGCAACTGAGGTCGCCTGCTGCTGCGCCTACTTCAGCTCGCTTCACCACGCGTTTTTGCCCAAAGCATGGCACTGCAGATGCGTGTGGCGCTCCTTGCGCTCTTCCAAGAAGGCTGACTCGACGCGAAAGTCGGAGGGGTCCCGATCTTATCTTCCCTTTTGCTGAAGAATATGCGTTGTTCTTTGTTGGTCATTTAAAGCGGCAACTATCACTACTGGACATCTTTTCTTTTTTTCCCAAGGGACTTAAGCAAATGAAGGCTTCTTTCCCCCCCTTTTGGGGGTTTTCAATCATCACCTTTTGAGCCGTGTTTTGAAGCGAGTGTTTATTTGGGGCGATGGTTGTTGCAAGTTTGGGAACTCTGCCCCTGCGTCGAAGGCAGGGTCACCCACGAAGTGGCCAACTGAAAGCAACAACTGGCCCCATTTGGTAGCGGATGTTTCTGGGCCACAGTGGTTTCAACTGGCTCTATGAGGCTGGAATCTAGCCAGAGGTTGGCCAAATTTTACATACCTGCGTGGATTGGCCAAAACGAGTCCATGTTTGTTCTTTGCCACTGAAATGGTCCAAACCCATAAAGTATAAATCCAAGAATGTCCAGGAACTCAGGACCTCAGGCAGTGAGGACACCAGAGAAGCCAGCACACGTCGCTTGGACAAATCCACATCTTGGCCCGTGCTCCTTTGCCAAGGACCATCTCTCAAAGAAAAAGCAGGTGAGGTGTGCGTGTGTGTCTGTGTGTGTCACCTCCAGGCACGTTGTTTTTCTTGGGCCTTCAATCCATGCCTTCAAACCAAGGTGAAAATGGTACCTTCCAACAAACAAATGGGCAAGACCCATTTGCCACCTTTGTCCACAGTCGATTCGCAACCTTTTGATGTCCCATAGTCCTACCACTTCGTCAGGAAACCCTTGGATCTTCTAGATGGTAAATTGGAATCTGCTGCGTTTCACCACCACCGATTCGGTTCCAAACCACCGAGTGGGAGGCTGAGATACGTGCTTGGCCCCATGGTTGGGAATTTCAGCGCCAGGTGGCGTTGCGACCCTTCGGGCGGCCAGAATACTCCAAGGCAGAAACCCGGCGCTTGCGGGCGCACGGGGAAAAGGGTGAGAAAGGGTTTAGTAAATGGCGGTCCCCGTTTGGCCGTTTGGTGAAAGGAATCCACAAAGAAGAACCATTTTATGGGAGCCCGCTGCTTTGAAAGGCAAATGAGTAGGGCTTACAGGGCGAACCAACAATGGGGTGAGCCAACAATGGGGTGAAACAACCCAAAAGGCTACCCTCACAAGAGTGTCACGCCATACCAATGGAATGGGGATCTGCGACGTCCAAGCCTCTAAGGAAAAATGGAGCATACAACCCCGAAATAGCTGCCATCAGGCTGCGTAGACGGTTTGCTCTTGGGAGTGGTTTGGGTGCAGCCGGCCATGTTTGATCATCGTTTCACCGACGGAATGGTTTTGTTTCGAGTGTGTCAACGCGTGTGTTTGCATGAATGCCGAGGTCAGGCGCGCTCGACGTCAATTCCCCAGTTGCACAGTTCTTACTTTTCGCTGACTGGCCTGAGGCAAAAAGTCTCCCAAGCGATCTCTGGAGTGTAAAGAAAGATGTTTAATAATGTCAAAGGATCGATGTTCTACATTCAGCCAGGTATTTTCCGAAACCAGGGATTTGGCATGTTTTCGTTGCGACCTCATGCGTGTAGTTAGATTCGCAGGTTTGTTGGTGCAAGATTCGGCGTTGTTACCTCTCAAGACAAGCCATTCCCAACCCGAATCGTGCCCGGGCGACTTGGGAGAAGCAAGGGATGTCCCAAAGCCCAGGGACGTCATGTGACATGTGTGGGTAGATGTAGCCGTTAGAACCCATCCATTTCTCAAGTGTTTTTTGTTTGTTTTCGCTTGCTGGTGTTAAAGGGAATCTATCACTACTCGAAATATGTTTATTTGTTCCAGAGGGCCCTCTGAAGCAAATGGAAGAACCTCTACTTTTTTGCGAAGTTTGGCGCTTTTTTTTGGGAACCTTCGACGTCTCTCCGAATCCGCAAGCCGCAAGCTGCAAGGGGCAGAGGCGGCCACCCGGGCGCGGGCAGACTGGCAGCTCCCACTGCGGCCCTCGGCCATGCAGTCGGACGTCCACGTCGTTAGCAGCCAGAAACGAACGGGGAGAGATCAACGCCATGGGTCAAAATCCAAACCGGTTATCCCCCAGTGAAGCTCCCACACCCCACTTAAAAAAGAAGAAAAAAAACGACGGAAATCGGTACTAACATTGGGTGGTGAATTCAGCTACCCCAAAATGGGAGTCCATTGGTGTTGACCCACGGCCAAATGGGTATGATTCAAGACTTGCGATCGGTGCAAGAGATGCAGGGAATGAGAAATGGAATGACCCAACAAAAACCATCCAATCCATCTAGTGGTTTCCTTGAAGAGAGTCGCTGGGTTCATTCCCACATTTGCTACTGAGCACCAGCAAGAAAATAGGGGGCCCGGAAAAGGAGGTTCCAACTGTTGGTTTCAAACTTTAAGCCCACAGGGGATGCCGAAAATGGCGCGTGGTTCTGCTGGCTTCCCTTTGGAAATGTAGTCTCCAAACCCAGGCATCCCCTAACTCCCCCCGCCACACCTCCTTTGTTTGAAAGGGGCGGGGCGTAGTTACCCTGATGAAAACCCTTCCCTCTCAATGGGCCCCAAAGCTCAAGGTAGGCGCAACTCTTGGTTCAGGGAAGGTTCACTCAAACGAGTGAAAGGGGTCTGGCAGGGTGAAGGTCTGGCCCCGCAGCAAAATGTGGAGAGGCTCTTGGAATATGAGCAATATGTTTCATGGCAGCCCATTTGGGGTTGGTTTGGCAGAAAGGCCACGCACGGGAGGGGGTCCGCCATTGTTCGACATGTTTTTTCTTTTTCGTGGGCACTTGAAGTCATGAGCCGTGAGACCTATTTTGCAAGGCTACCTTGTTTTTCTTGCAGGCCGGTGCTGTATGGCCTCAACATGGCAGCGCACACCCCTTTCATGGCTAGCGCTGACAGGGAAAGGGTGATTTCACCCACCCGTCGCTGAATTCCACACGTGAAGCTCCAGTTGGTCAACAGTGCTTGCGCATAGGAAGGATGTGTTGGCGCATTGTAATTTGTATGTGTGATTTTGCAAATAGAGTATGAGTGTGTTGGTGCGATGTCGACTTGTTGTTATACTGTTCCAATTGTATTGCTCATGCAATGGGAACGCAGGCTTGATGAACCATCGCTTCACTTTGGGGCAAGTTGAGAAAACTGGGGATATTAGGCGACGAGGCTTATAAACAGTTTCTGGGATGGGTGAATCATGTACCACCCCCATGCCAGGTCGGGGCCCCTAGGCACAATGGGTGAATACTGCCATGAGTTAGCCAGGCTAAGGCCCATGATTTTGCTGATCTTTAGTGGTTACCAAAGTCAATCCCTGTGATTGTTTCCCGCAATGTTACCCTGGAAACCCTCATGCAAAAATGGTGGCCTGCGTGAGAGGGTGTTTGCTTGCAAGGCTTACTATTGAGTTTGGGGTTCCTTGAGCTACATGTGAAATTAAGGGCAAGGTGCGTGATAGCCATGTTGATAGAGCTTGCCGCGCTTGGCTTTTGTATGGCCGACTTGGCACAAGAAGCATGTCGCGGCCCACCAAACCGCACATCAGGTAGCTTCCTGCTGAGCTCTACATCAGACAGACTGCAATCCGAAGTGGTTGTGTGGCCCTTCTGTATCGACCTGCTGTGGCGAAAAGAAATCGCAAAGCAACGCCCTGCAACGCCCCTGCGTGCAAGTAGTCTTTTGTGGTTCCTGTGTTTCAAAGCCGAGTTAACGGGTCATGGGAGGGTCATGGGAGGGCTGACCTTTTTCGAGCCCATGTTCTTATTTGATGTGTGTGCAGCGCAGCTCCCTAAGGCGAACGAGCGTTTGCAATTTTTTGGCCTAAGTTGGCAGCATCCACGTCAGCCTTCAACCAGTTGCTTCCTTTGCGTTCCAACTGAACCCGCAGGTCCTTTGCAAGGGTTACCGAATTGAGGAGGTATATCCGGATAGGGATTGCGACGTGGCCCATTTTCTCTCCACCTTGAACAGCACCCGGCCTGTCGTCATAGTAAGGCCGATAAGAAAAGGTGGATAGCCATTTTCCCAAGCACCAGCAGGACATTCCACAGGACATTCGCCAAACCTGCTGGTGTTCACGGTTGTTCTACAGAACTTCCAGTTAGTTTCCGTGAATCTTGCACAGGGTGTGGGTTTTTCCATGAAGGACCCGATAACGTTTAGCTGGGGCCTTATTTGTCCACTGAGGTGTTTACTCTTAAAGCTCATGGCCTTTTACACCCAGTGGATCCCAAGCGTTTTCCCATAGCAGGTCACTTCACCAGACTTAGCTCCCCTTTTTGCTTTTTTGATCTTTTTTGGGGTTTCCCTTGTTTTCCACTAACCAGGCAAAAAAGATGTTTTTTGCTGGGGTCCTAATTCCAGCCAAGGTCACCCGTCGCCGTTTCAACTCTTGGTGTTAGGATGGCAAGCCCTACCGGCCCTTTACCAGGTACCCTCCCAACTAACATGGAACCTGACGTGGGGGGGGGTTCCCGGTTTGGATCATCAGATCCCGAAGGTGAGGTTCCGGCTGATTGGTGTCTTGTAGATATTCACATATATATATGTATATATATATATATATTTGTTTATGTTGGTTTGTTTATGTGATATGGTTTATTGATATAACAAGGTGTTTATTGTATAGCGTTTGGATAATTAATTGATTTGCTATTTGATGTAATTTAAAAATCAGAGTTTATGACATAAACAGGTTTAAACACAAACATATTCAACAATTGGATAACTAATGGTTATGGTTATTGTTGTCATTTTTATTAATTATTAGTATTATTATTATTATTATTATTATTATTATTATTATTATTATTATTATTATTTAGAAACAATGAAATATGGCGAACATGTTATAGAGCCGACCGTCAATGGAGTGGGGCATCGCTCTGTGGCTCTGTGCAGGGAGATCCGCGAGACTCTGCGGGCCTATGCTGACCAGCCCCTCGAGCTGAAAAAGCTGTTCCACTTGCATTCGTTCATCGAGGGCGTGACAACTTTTGTCTGTAAAGTTGATACATCTTTGCTGAAGCGTGGACATGTGGCCAGGTTTTTGCTGGGGCTTTAAAAGGCACCAGGACGCAACCAGTCATTTTAGCGTACACCCTTTGCAGCAATACTCTGTGAGCCGGCCTGGCCAATGTTGAAAGCACATCGAATGGGCCAAGGGGATGCGGGCGATGCGCAGTGCGTAACTACCTGAGACTCAGGCCGTTCTGAATGGGAGCTTAGTTTTTTTTTTTGTGTTTTCAAGGTTAGTAACTGACCTCAAGAAAACCGCACCTAAGCTCCAATCCAGAATGAGTCTTTAGTTGGCCTTCACACTTGACATCAGAGCAGTGCAGGCCTGGCTCAACTGTGAGACACCATTCATTTGCCCAGACGTGCGATTCGCAAAGCGAAGGCCGACCTTTGGACCTTTTGCTCTTTCCCTTTTGGTCTATTTTTGGTCAATCCAAAAGGAGCTTTTCTTTCCAGGCCCTTGAGCCAGAGAGCTACAATTTCCCAACCGTTGCAAGCGACAAATGGTAGGTGAAGCCCTGGTCAACAAAAGCCACCAGCGCAGTATTGCTTGCCTCGCTTGCGAAGGCATGGGGAAATTCGGTGGCTTTGCACCTTATGGTGCACAGTGTAGCGCTGGGGAGGGGGGGTCAATGCAGCGACGCTTGCCTAGGCACGGGATTCAGCTGAGGCCCCGGTGGTGGGGAGCGGTGAGGGAATCCCCATGAGCCATCCCCTGGCTTCCTTTACAGGAATCGGGTTCACCCCCAGAGCCCGTTGCGTATGGGGATCAAGGTGGGAATGCTGCCAGGCTACCTTCAGGATACTCGCCGCGACGTTGAACAGAAAGTTCTGACTCTAACTAAGAAGTTTCTGTCCTGAGGACGTCGGAGTCCTTGGGTTTTCTTTCTCAGCAGGTGTCAAAGTGGTGCCTTGGCGTCAGGACTTTCGCTCCAACATCAAACATGGCCCTGGAATAAAATTGGAAACTGCCCCCAGTTCGTTGAATTCAACAAAATCTTGACGTCACGGTAGCCTGTGTTGGCCCCTGGCTTAGCTTCCCTGCCCTTCTTATTTGCAGAATTGGTTGCAGTGGCGTCACTGCAGTTGTCATTTGCTGTTCACACTGTCAGCAGCTACGTGGATCTTCCTCAATCTGGCGAAGCCGAATGTCCGGAAGGAAATTCTACCATGATCCAAGTTGCACACGCCACATATCCCTGAGACCCCTCGCACTTGATGCAAAGCACTTGTCACCTCGGATGCAACCTTCTGCAAGCACGCAAAAGTCGCAACATACATCAGAAGGACAAAAGTTTATGCCTCTTGATGGTTTCTGCAAAGCCGTGTGGATCTCCCGCGGATCGAATTTCCAACTCCTTTTCATGTGGCAGGAGTGGGACGGTCAATTATCACCCTCTTTTAAATTTAAAATACTTTAAAGGCTTTGGAGTGTGACAATTCGACCGCGAATGACCCAGCAACAACTTGCAGGATTCTAGGGGGAAAGGGTTGCTTTTTGTGAGAAGGCCCAAGAGGCACAACTTTTGTCCTGGTGGTGCGTCACGGGAGGGGTGTTGGGTGACAGGCTGCAGACGAGTGATTCTCAATTTTTGTCAATGTGCAGAACTATGTGTTTGGACCTTCCCTTGAAACCGTTGCGAGGATCAGACACTTGAAGCGGCAAGCAGACACGCGACGGACATGTTTTTACTCAGCCAGAGGACGCAGCGCCGGCTTTGCGGACCACTTCCCGGCAAGTCTTCATGTAGGCCCTGGCGATTCGCTTTGCGGTCGCCTGTGCGTGGGCAGATTTCAGAACTGCGCGGACTCGGGCCTTGTAGGCCATCTTGCTCAGGCAAGGCTTCCTGTTCAGGGCATCCTTGAGGTCCATCTTCCGAAGCCGCTTCTTGAGGTAGCCCCAAAATCTTTCAATGGGGTTCAAATCTGGTGACTTGGGCGGGATCCTCCAGAGGCGAACGTTCACCTTGCGATACTCGTCTTGGCACTGTCTGGCTGCCAGAAACCGTTCGTTGTCACAGAGCAAATGCCAAGGTCCATCGGCTTTCACAGGGTCCAGGGATTTCAGCGCAGACACAAGCCTCCCAGACTTCATGACATTGACCCACTCACCCTTCGTCAGCTTCTTCTTCAAGTGAAACGTCACAGCTGCGAACCCACCTGCGCTGAGGCCACCCCATAGAGGGACACATCGGTCAATCGGGCATTGCTTTGAAAAACCATCCTGCCCGGCCAGGGAAGGTTCCAACCTCTCTGACCTCAGGCGCCACATGTGTGTCTGCGAGTGTCGCAAGTGGTTCAAGCGGTCGGTAAGGTCCCTTGGTGGCATGGTCAGTACACAGCCATCCATTGAGAACGACAGCTTTTCTCGCAGCCTGCGCGCGCCCAGGTTCAATACAGACTGCGCAAAGGCCTGTCGCTCACGCATCTGCTGCGCGCTGTACTTCCGCTTCTGCCCTCGGGGTAGCCACTTGTAGCCCTGCGACAGCAAGAACTTGCGCACAGTGGATTCTTCCACTTCAACGCCTTTCTCCTTGGCCAGCTCCGTCTGCAAGGTTTTGCTGGTGCAAACCAATTCCTGTCTCAACTTCTTCAGCCTGCGCAGCAAGAAGTTCTTGGAGTCTTCGGTGAGCTTCCAGGGACGGCGGCCACACTTCTTGTAGCCAGACTGCTTTCGGCCTTGTTGATGGGAAAACAGCTTGTAGTACTGACCACAAGTTCGTCTTGATGGCCGCTTCCCAGCTAGGTTCTTCACCTTCCGGGCGATTTGCGGGAATGTCAACCCATGCACATCTCGTAGAATGACCACCTTGCGTTGGTTAGCAAAATCCAGCCCTCGTGGATGCACGCTCTCACTCACAACGACCATCTGAGGTGAAACAGCCGCTCGCGTGCTGCAGGTGTGGGAAGCTTGATCCAGCAGAGGCGGCACCAACGCACCAGACTGCAGCAGAAGGCTTTCAAGATGCGGTAAAGGGACAGCAGAAAATGACAGACACGGATCCCTTATGGAGACGCCAAAGCCCCTAGAGCCCAACCCAGTGGCAGCGCCAAACACTTTTGACTCAGATGACACACGGCGTTAGCAAACGTCAGCTTCGTGCAGGCAGAGAATTAATAGCGAATTACGGCACAGCCGGTGGCCATTCCACGACCTCTCGGTTCTGTGGCCTGCTGAGCCAGTCATTGCTTTGCAAATGACCAAGGTTCTTTGTTGTGAAGTTAATGGTGACCACGGTTGGTATCTTAAAGAGGTACTTGGTGTAGAAACAAGTTCCCCCTTGCGTGGTTGCGAATTCAATCCGGCTGTCATACTTGCCCTGAACCTTTTCTTGGTGCATGACTAGAAACTCCAAGTCACGCACATCGTCAAGAATCAAGGCATCATGACAACCACGCTTGAACTCCACCATCTTGGAAGGAAGCACCTCGCTCTTGCCAACCTTCAGCTCCAATGGGTTCTGGAAGAGGCTCTTGGCGTACTCTGTCTTGCCGGACGCAGACGCGCCGATCAAGATAAGCAACGGGTAGCGCAAGAGGTCGGAGTTAAAGTTTCCCAGCCACGCTGTCACGGCGGGCACCACTGGGAAAGGCTTGTACAGCGAAGGGTTGCCTTTGATTCGCTTCACAACCTGGTCGATCTCAGCTTGCTCGACCCGCGCCTCGCCCCAGGACTTGCAAGCGTCCAGGTTTCGCTTGCGAGCCTGAACGCCATCCCGGGCCAAGAACAGGTACTCCTCATAGACGGCATCGTCCAGCTTGTAGTGCTTCCAAAGAGATTCGGGCCATTTGCCTTGCACCCGGTACGTGGCGATGCCAGTAGCCTCACACCATGCCGGCATGTAGTTGCCTGCTACGCACTCCTTCCCCGAATCGTCCACCATGGTGCCGATCTTCTTTGCGAAGACATAAAAGAAGCCTCGATCCATGCTTTGCTGCGGATTCCTGCGCCCCCTGCCCTCGCCCAGGTAATCATGGGCACTGACGTTTTGAACGATGCCTTCGAAGGAGAAAGAACGACTGGTTCTGTCCTGCTTCTTCCGGAACTGGAGCATGACATGCGAGTGTAGGCGCCCAGTTTTGCATTTCTCCAATGTTGCGCACCAGTACTTCACCTGCCAGGTTGACATTTTCTGCTGAACAAAGCAGGCAAATCTGCGCCACTGATCCAGGCCATCAAAAGATTGGTATGTGAGCAGAACTGCAGTGGCTTCAACCCGATAGCCAGCCTCACTCGCGCACGGTCTGCCTCTAGCATCTCTTTGACCCAAGGCGCTTTCCCACTCGGCCTTTGCTGCGCGCAACGGCTGAAGGTCCTGACCGTCACGGGATCTTGCAGCTTTGCGGAAGACCTTACTGCAGGCTTCGCGTAGGGCTTGTGGGTCAGAGTCTCGGTTGACGCCGGGTGCCACTTGGAGCAAGGCGGCTGCTGCCAAGAGGGCAGAGACAAAAGCGCGTTGGCATACTTGGAGGTGTGAAACCATGAGGAAGCACGAGAACTAACACCGGACCGACCTATCCTAGCACGAACTTGAGCGTAGAACAGGCCATGTTTTCAGTTTAACAAGACCAGCTGGATGCTTTCAAAGATGTGGCGGTGGACATCAGAAGGACAAAAGTTTATGCCTCTTGATGGTTTCTGCAAAGCCGTGTGGATCTCCCGCGGATCGAATTTCCAACTCCTTTTCATGTGGCAGGAGTGGGACGGTCAATTATCACCCTCTTTTAAATTTAAAATACTTTAAAGGCTTTGGAGTGTGACAATTCGACCGCGAATGACCCAGCAACAACTTGCAGGATTCTAGGGGGAAAGGGTTGCTTTTTGTGAGAAGGCCCAAGAGGCACAACTTTTGTCCTGGTGGTGTATTTCGGGTGGAACGCGCATTGTTTTTCTTCCGCGCATTGAAGACAGCATGCTCGCCGGTATCCGCTCCCCTTCCCTCGTTCGTGGACCTGGATGACCCTTTGAATGGTAAGGGTAAACAACAAGTTCGGACCCTTTCGCCAAAGCCACTCAGTCCAGTCGACAAGGCAGCTTTTATGGACTCGCGTGCCCCTCGCCGCCACTGATGGGTATTGGTCAGCCAGCAGGTTGAAGTACCTGAGCACCCTGCCTTTTTGTTGGGCACCCAAACCGTGAAACCGATTGGACTTGGTTTGGCCAAGCCGCTCAGGAGTGGTGCATTTTGCTTGGATGTTAGGACTGAATCACTTTTTGCCAACGAATTTGGGTTTTCCGTATTAAACCACTAAAAGTTAAAGCAGGGGAGCAGATGTTGCAGCCGAGTGAGTCGTCCACATGCCACCGTGCCATACGTTCGATGGCGCAGGGACGGCCTGAAGATGGCGCTGAACAGAGGCCGGTTCTGGGTGCCGGAGGCTTAGGGCATGTCGCATGGACTTGGGCTGCGCTGGGTGGGTGGGTGTGGTGTGTGTGATGTGTGTGGTGGGTGGCCACCACTCGAGCTTTGTCAGCCGGGCCCAGGTCCTACGCAGGCGGCATTTCTGCGGCATAGAGCGACGCGACGCGACGTGGCACGCAAGAAAGACCCCGAAGCCCCGAAGGCGGGCTTTGAAAGCCACTGAGGGAACATGCCATTGGATGTGTCAAAAAAACGAATGTTGGTGACTCTGATCGCTTTTCCTTAACCTACCTGTCTCCATGACCC